CTCCGAGATAATATGCATCTGTAAATCTGGTGCCTGGGCAGTTCTTGGTTGTGTTCACAAATGTCAGAAACAGATCTTCCACTGCTGCAGCTACTCAACTGCAAAGTTGAAATGTTACAGTCTGATCACTGGGGAGAGGAGGAAATGTTTAGTTCTGACTACAGCAGACAAGCCACTGGACTGGAGTCTAAGGATAACTTTATATTGATAAAAGGTGGAGCTTTTCTGAAAAATAATATTGTTGCTGTATTTTGTGACCTGTTAAGAATGTATTCATTATTCATGCAAACTTGTAAAGTTCCTAAAAGGACAGCTTTAAAGATGCAGGTTCTATGGTTGGCATCTTGATCATCCCTCACTACCTAGTAACAAGCCACTGACCAGTAACAAGCATGTAGCTAGTAAAGTCTAAAGCTGTCTATACACAGATCGGCATTCGGTCAGTGTCAGTGGTGTAAGTAGATTTTGTGCTGCACTAGGCAACACAAACATTTTGCGCCCCCCCATGAGAGAGCGAGAGAGTCAATAAGTGTGTGTGTATATATATATATATATATATATATATGATTCTCTCTCTCTTCCCTCTCTCCTTCTCCCTCTCTTCCCCCTCTCTCGCCCCCCTCTCTTCCTTCTCTCTCTCTTCCACCTATCTCTCTCCTCCTCTCTCTCTCTTCCCCCCTCTCTCTCCCCTCACTCTTGCCCCCCCACCTCTCTTCCCTCTCTCTCTCTCTTTTCCCCCTCTCTCTCCCCCTTCTCTCTCTCTCTTTGTTCCCTCGCTCTTCCCTCTCTCTTCCCCCTCTCTCTTCCCTCTCTTTCTCTCTCTTCCCTCTCTCTCTTCTCTCTCTCTCCCTCTCTCTCCCCCCCCTCTTCTCTCTCCTTCTCTCTATTCCCCCTCCCCTCTCTCTCTTCCCTCTCTCTTCACTCCACTCTGTCTCTCTTCCCCCCCCCCCTCTTCCCTCTCTCTCTCTTCATTCCCTCTCTCTTCCCTCTCCCTCTCTCCCCTCTCCCCCCCCTCTATCTCTTCCCTCTCTCTTCCCTCTCTCTTCCCTATCTCTCTCTCCCTCTCCCCCCTCTCTTCTCTCTCTCTCCCCCTCTCTCTGTCTTCCCTCACTCTCTTCTATCTCCCCCATCTCTCCCTCCCGCCCCTCTCTCCCCCCCTCTCTCCCTCCCTCCCTCTCTCTCTCTCTCTCTCTCTTCTCCCCCTCCCTCACTCTTCTCTCTCTCTTCCCTCTCTCTCTTCTCTCTCTCTCTACACCCCCACTCTCTCTCCCCCTCTCTTACCCCCCTTTCCTCTCTCTCTTCCCCCTCTCTCTTCCTCTCTCTCTCTCTTTCCTCTTCCCTCTCCCTTCCCCCCTCTCTCTCTTCTCTCTCTCTTCCCTCCTCTCTTCCCTCTCTCTCTCTTCGTTTCTCAGATCGTATGGGACTGCACACACACACTTCCTCCAAGGGCTGCTGATCTCCGTGCAGCAGGAAGGGGGGGGGGGGGCGGGGGAGGTGTGTGCAGTCCCATAAGATCTGTCAGTGTAGGGAGGGAGGCAGGGAGATCCCACAGAACACAGCATAGTTCACCTCCTCCGGGTTCTCTCCTCTCCCTGCTCCAGGCTGTCCCCTGGTACTGGCTCGTCAGCTGCTGGAGGGAGAGGTACGAGCATCGCTCTGCAACTGCCCTCCCCTGCATCGATCCTCCTGCTGTCCGGGCCACTGCAAGAGTACTGAAGGTACCCCTCTGATGGCGGCACTGCACGGCTCTGTCTGCCGCTTCTCAAAAGGTCCCTTCTTCCGGAGGGTGGTGCTGCCCCCTAAAAATTGCCGCCCTAGGCAAATGCCTTGTTTGCCTCACGGTAGATACGCCCCTGGTCATTGTGTGGCAGTCCTTGCTCAGCACAAGTTGACCATTTGATCAACTTCTGTCAAAGGGACATGTTGAAATTTGATTCCTCCATCCAAGTGTATGGGCAGCTTAAGAAGTTTAAAATCCCATCCTGTCAATTTGTTGCAGCTCAGTGACTCTCTAGGCAATGATGCAAGGACAAGGTTGGACCTCCTGGAGCCTGTACCTTTAAAATCAAGTCATCAGTGAATGTTCCCATATTTCCATCCACAGGTAGTAATGACTTCATGTATTGCCCTTTAAAGTGATTGTAAACCCTCACCTTGTAAAACAGACCATTAAGATTACAAAATAAAAATGGAAGATAACACAATTGTGTATAGATATGTAGCACTATCCCCTTAGGGATTGCTGAGTAATTTTTTGGGGTTCCCTGTCAATCTGGACCTCTAGTTCAAAGCCCAACCTCTGATGACACCACCATGCTCTGGTGACCCAGATAAATCACTCCGGTAAAATGGAGTCAGATGGACACACAGAGTAGTATAGACCAAAATGAAGTTTATATTGGATTTGGAGGTAACGGAGTCAAGAATAACAAAACAACACTGGTATTGGCAGCAAATCTGATCACTCTTGCAGTTGTGAGCAAAAGTAACACCATTCATGATAAAACAACTGTATCTGTTAGCAGGCCTGCTTTCAGAAATAATCCACTGCTTCCAGTCTGAGGGGACTTTTGAATCCCCAGTGAACAGGAATGACTATCAATAACAGATAAGCTCACTGTGGGTCCTCAGAACCAGATAACAAGGATATGTGAAATAGAGAGAATTCTCAGTTATAATTGAAAGTGTCCCTATTAAGAGCTCTATTATGTCTTCTGCATGACTGTTGGGGCCCAATTGGTGTGAAATTGCGTAAAGGGGGGAGTGACTCAGGGTGGTCACATAAAAGATAGTGAGGGAAAAGGAGAGGATTCAACACTTCCCTGATTGATGGTAAAGAATTAGTGCAAGGTTCCCTTTAAGAGCTCTAATCATGAATTGAGCTTGAAGTAATAAATAGCAACAATTGACATAAATGTCTATGGATAAAGACAACTCCCTCTGAACTTCAAAGGCAAAAGGTGAACAGTAGTAGGAATCCTGCTCTGCAGAGAGGGAAATGGACTTGTTGATTTAGTTGGCACTGCTGTATCTTGGTCTGTAATTGTATGTTTTGCAGTCAGCTTGAATGATAACTGTACTGCAGATATATTCCAACAATGGCGCTGGTGCAACTGGGGCAACTGTATGTAATGTTCATAGCTATGTGCAGGCAGATAACTGAGGTGAAGAACTATCAATGTTCACTTTGTTAGTAGATGCTTGGGCCTCTCTCACCTGATCAATGTGGTTCGGTGGATTGCCGCTATCCATCTTTTCCCGATGGATAAAGACAGTCCACGGGCCCTCTGGTTCAGACTTGGCATCCTGCTCTATCTCCTGCTGCCAGAGTGGCTTGCTTAGCAGCTTGGCAAGCTCTCTCCAATCCTGGCTATATAATACAGCCTAGTTGAGCGCTTCAGGCATCAGCACACGTCCTTCCCCTTCAATCTCCCTCCACACTCCCCACGCCAATCTCCTGAGCTTTGATATTTATATGCCCCAGCCCACATGCTACTTCTTCTGGAAAATGTAGTCCGAGGCACTCTGCTTATCAGCCAAGTCTTGCTGTTTAGAAACACAAGTTCCAGAGAGCTGTTCTGTCAATGTTAGTAACCCTGAATAACAGGTCACCACCATCTAATGTCCACTTTATTGTATTGCAAGTGATAACATTTCAATGGATTACAGATATATAAAAATATTATAAATACATTAAATACCTTTTTTCCCCTTTTTTTATAAATAATCACATACCCACTGTTCTCAGCAGCATAAGAGCTGGGGAAAGAGAAACAACAACACACTGATATTCCCAGTGAAAGGCTGTGAGGGAAAGGGGGGGGGGGGGGGGTATCAGTGTCAGAATAAGTCTATCATTGGAAGAGAGCAGGCTGAGTTCCCAGCACAGCCAGAGAACTGACCATGCTGTGCCTAGCATGGTCAGTCTTGAAAACTCTCAGGAACACCAGGGGTTTCACACAAAGGAAGCAATACAAAGAGAACAGGATACTTTTTCCTACATGTACATGGTACAGCAGGCACATATCAGGTACAGCAGGCACATATCAGGAATATGAAATGTTGGGTTTACATATTCTTTAAATAGAATCCTTCAATATCTGTAATAAAGTTTCTAAAGCTTGGTTCCTGCATACTTTCCCGTAACCACAGCATTGAGGAAGACGTGTGATTGCCAATAGGAATGCACAGCATGATCTGTATTTCTAATCCTTTCTTCCCTCCTATACTCTCAGGGGAGTATTTATTGATGTAACCATTTACATAATTACTGTGTATTGATGGTGGTGGCAGAGTCACTGAACGGCATTAGAAAAAATGCTGGAATCTGCTGTGCTGTCCTGAGACTTCCTAGTGGTTCTTAGTGACAAAGAGACCTAATACTGCTACTGTGGTTATTATATCCAAACAAGATATAGAACAAGTCTGCTGGTCTGTGCATTCATCAAGGACTAAACTGTAATTAGGTAGTGTACTGTTCCTCTCTAAGGCTTTGTATTAGTCACTTAAATTATAGGAAATTAACTCTAGGATTTTGGTTTATTACAACATTTCTCAACCAGGGTTCCTCCAGAGGTTGCTAGGGATTCTACCATTTTACTGTTCTTACCATATTCACCAGTTGTTCCATTTAGGGGTGGTAGATTGACCTCAAGCCTTAGGGTGCCTGCTTAGTTGGGACAAGGTCACTTGGCAGAGCCATTGGAGAAGGACCAGTGGAGCCTCTCCTCTTGTGTCTTAGATAAGTAACTAAGAGACAAGCGGCTGGTCCGGTATTTCTGCCGCCACCATCTCAGAATACCGGGCCGGCCGCTCAGCTGCTCTATGCGGCAGGAACTCACAGCGCTGTAGTCTTCCCGCGCCAGCTTCTTCCCACCCCGGCATCTGTGACTGCGCATGCGCGAGAAGCACTGCGCTTTGTGAATGGTCCGGTGTCTTCTGGGACACATGACAGGTCCCAAAAGAAGCTGGACCATTCACAAAGCGCAGCGCTTCTCGCGCATGCGCAGTGGGCACCCGGCAGTCAAAGTCGAGTGCCCACAGTATAGGAAGGAGAACTCCGCAGAAGAGGGTACCTGTCAAATTCAGGTACCCGCTCCCCCTCCCTCCCTAAAGGTCCGCAGTGTCTGGTCATGCCCTGTACTGTCTGCAGTCTCTGGTCATCCCCTGTACTGTCTGCAGTCTCTGGTCATCCCATGTACTGTCTGCAGTCTCTGGTCATCTCCTGTACTGTGTCCGCAGTCTCTGGTCCATCTCCTGTACTATGTCCGCAGTCTCTGGTCATCTCCTGTACTGTGTCCGCAGTCTCTGGTCATCTCCTGTACTATGCCCACAGTCTCTGTTCATCTCCTGTACTATGTCCGCAGTCTCTGGTCATCTCCTGTACTATGTCCGCAGTCTCTGGTCATCTCCTGTACTATGTCCGCAGTCTCTGGTCATCTCCTTTACTATGTCCGCAGTCTCTGGTCATCTCATGTACTATGTCTGCAGTCTCTGGTCCATCTCCTGTACTGTGTCCGCAGTTTCTGGTCATCTCCTGTACTATATCCGCAGTCTCTGGTCATCTCCTGTACTATGTCCGCAGTCTCTGGTCATCTCCTGTACTGTGTCCGCAGTCTCTGGTCCTTCTCCTATACTGTGTCCACAGTCTTTGGCCATCTCTTGTATTTGTCTGCAGTCTCTGGTCATCTCCTGTACTGTGTCTGCAGTGTCTGGTCACTTCCTGTACTATGTCTGCAGTCTCTGGTCATCTCCTGTACTGTGTCTGCAGTGTCTGGTCACTTCCTGTACTATGTCTGCAGTCCATTATTTCAGAATATTTTTTTTCTTGTTTTTCTCCTCTAAAACCTAGGCGCGTCTTATGGTCAGGTGCGTCTTATGGAGCGAAAAATATGGTAATCTTCCTCCTCACATGAATGTAAGGGGCGTTCTTCACTCTCTGGCACCAGTAGAAAAGTCATTGTTCCCACCACTTACTACCAATTTAAGGGATATACTTCCCTCCCTGGTACCAAATTAATTCTTCATCGTCCAATAGTAACATAGGTGTCAGAGTAATTAACTACAATGTGTGAGCATAGGGGGGAGGGGGAACACAGGCATCTGACGATCTCAGGAATCCGATGGAAGACTGTAGCGCATAAACTGAGCAAAGATGGTGGCACATATAATGCCCCCTCTATTACATGAGATTGTGTGTATAGCTTGTTTTGGTTTTTACAGTGTCATGTTAAAACCTAACAGATGTTCTAATAACGACCCGATCTATTGAAAACTAAAAAAAAAAAGGAACTGAAGTTGCAGATCACTCCTTATACAATCCCTCATAGGCAGGTGCACCTACTTCTGCTACTAGGACAGGGTTTCAGGGGTTTTTTTGGCCAGTTTAAACTATTTATTCTAGATAGATATCTACTGAAATAACAAAAAGAAACAGTGAATCTCAAGGCAAGTTCTTTTTGTTAAACATTGTAATTCTCAAGAATGAATATTTCAAAGCCTGTCAGGGAAAGTTCATATGTTTTTATTAACCTGGCAGGCTGTTTTACTTCTCCACAGGCCTTCCACATTAGATTTACAAGCATGATATTAAAACTCAGTTCCTTGCTGTGAATTAAATTATTTGAAATACAGAGGAGGGAATTCAAATACCCAAATTCTGTGCAATAGCTGCAAAAATAGGAGCATGAAAATTCCTGTCTAATCATCAGGTGGGGGGGTGGGAGATACAATTCACCTAGGATACATTGCAAAGTTGAACACTGCCATCCAGTGGAAACTGTAGGAATTGCCATGATACACTCCATGTCCAAAAATATGTTGATACAGCTCCAAATGAGCGTTTCTAGTGAAGTGTACTGAAAGCGGTAGTGAACCACCACAAACAAATTAGCCCCTGTGCAGGTTTAAAGTGGTAGTAAACTCATTAAAAAAAAAGTTTCCTGCTGCAAGGTGAGCATACTAGCACATTATGAAAGACTAACCTTAGAACTAAAACCCTCCAACGGCGTGCTGTTACCGCTGCAGAAGGCTTCCATCTTCGACCGGTCTTCCTTCTGGGTTCGTGGGCTGTGGATGCTTGAATAGCCGAGCTGCTGTATGCCGTCCCTTCAGAGCACATGCGCTGGTGACGTCACCGGCTGCATCCTGATCCTGTGTGAATACCTCCTAAAGGGTGCAAGTTGAGGAGATATTCACTGTACCTACAGGTAAGTCCTATTATAGGCCTACATGTAGGTAAAAGTTAAAAAGTGACATTACTTCCACTTTAATGCTACAGTAAACAAGACATATTAGACAATTGTGCACTTCCAACCTTGTGACAACAGTTGGGGGAAGGCCCTTTGCTCTTCCAGCATAACTGTACCACTGTTCACAAAACCAGTGTCATATAGACATGGCTGGACTAGTTTGGTGTGGAGGAACTTGGGTGATCTGCATAGAGCCCTGACCTCAACCCTACTGAATATCTTTGGAATTAATTAAAATACTGACTGCAAGCTAGGTGTTTTTCTTCCAACATCAGTACCTAACCTCACAAGGCTGAATAGACACAAATTCCCACAGGCAAACTCCAAAATCTTGTGGAAAGTTTCTCAAAGGAGTGGAGGTTGTTATAGCCTCAAAGCGGGCACCAACTCAGTATCAATCTCCATGGTTTTGGAAGGGGATGGGGATGTCCATCAAGCTCCTGAAAGAGGAGTGGTGGCCAGAAGCTAGAGCAGTGAGCCTTAAGGGGATGACACTGGAAATCAGATGAGTCTAGCAGTTTGTAGCTACATTTTAAATTTAAGGAGCTCTGGGCGACCTATTACTAATTTTTTGGTCAAAGTAGAACTGGCTTTATACAGTAGTTAAAGAAATGAGATGCACTTTTGGACTACAAAGCTTCCAGCTATTACTAAAAGGGAACATCCCCTTTCCTTTACTTTTTTCCTACATTATAGTAGGTGGGTAGTTTGAGTTTCAGGACATAACACGTAGATCATTGCTATGCTTTCATTGATTTTGCGAAGTCAAAGGATCACTGACCTGAAATGTATGAACTTGGAGATGGAGATTTTTAGAATTTTGCAATCCTTGATTCTGGTTTGGGTGTGCGTATTGGTGAGAGAGATGGGGTCATCATCCACAGCTGCTGATAGTTGTGGTTTCCTGATGTCTAATACTTTTATATCATTACTAGGAAAGAGCAAATCTGCCTGGTTCTAGTTCAAAGACCATTTTGTAAAGTTTGGAAACTATGTGGTGAACCCTATTGAAGTCTAGGGCAAAAAAGTTTGGAACCTATTTGTTATTTACAAACCTTGTTATTTACTGCCTCCTATGTTGACTTCTATATGCCTGTGCAGACAGGAGGAGAGCATTGGATATAAATAAACAAGGGAGGCTGCAGAATTCAGATCTCAGCCTACATCTGTGGAGGGGGAGAGTGGGATTGGTTAGCTCAGGGCAAAGGGGTAAAAAGAATAAGTGCACTTTTTCTTAAAAAAAAAAAAAAAAAAAACAATCTTTTTCTTTAAAATCAAATACATCTGTAAGTTTTACAAACCTTGATGATCTGTATTACTCAGAAAAGCCACAAGATTTCTACTGATTTCACACATTAGTACAACACTCTAAAAAATAATGTTTTGGCTCAACAAAAAAAATTAACGCAACAGTTTGCATCAAGCTTTTTAAAGTTATGACAATGTCTGGTAAAATTAAGTTGAAGCAACAAACTACATTGCATTGAGGTAATTAGCTTTTTCTGATAGAAATGAATGCATTTTTATTTACCGCCAACTTAATGACTGGCATTATAAACACATTTGTTTTTAAGTTGAGTACTTAAACATATTAAGTTAATTCAAATAGTTTTTCCAGTTTTTATAAGAAACCTTCAAGTCACGTGTACTTAATTGCTACAATTATGAGCACGTTTTTTAAAAGTTAAAAAGCAGTTAAAAAATCAAGTTGATCCAAATTGATTTTCTGTATTAGTTTTTAGCTTTGTTTTTTTTATACTAGCTTTCAAAAATGAATTAATCAGTTTAGGCTTACACTAGAATGTGTTGCAGAAACCCCGCAATCTGTGTGCATTTCGCGCACCGCATTCAAATCGCACTACCCTTGCAGTCTGCAGTGGATATCAGTGTTGCAAACACAGTGCATTTGCCGGCATCAGATTGCATGGTACAAAACACAACATGCAATCTGGTTGCACTGTGGTTCAAAAATTGGTGCATGCATGTCTTTGGTGCGATGTGGTGTGATTTGAGCTCATTCAAAATGAATGGGCTCAAATTGCATTACACTGAACCACATGTGAATTGCACAGGAATGTGTTGCAGTTCCTTGTGATTCACATGCACTTCATTGTGTGAACCAAGGGCCAACAATCCAATTGTTAAACAATTGACATTTTTTGCACGCCAAAATCAAATCCTTAAAGTTGTACTGATGAATGAGTAAGCACTTTGCAGTAAGATTTTTTTAATATTGTCTGTCTGGTGCAGAAACTGTTTCTCTACAAGACCTTTGCTATATTGTGCAACAAATTGTGGCAATATAGTGAAGCTATTGGAGGATATTGAAAGTTGATATTTTGTGAGCTTTCTTACAATTTGCTATATTCTTTCCTCATTACCCTGCGACAACCATTTTGTGAACTGAAATAAAAGTGAAAAATGTCATCTGAGTATGACTGTGCTATGGAACACATACGTTCTTCAGAGAATACTGTACTTGAGACCCATTACTTTAGCACTGGCTTTCAGTCCATCAAGTTCAAGGAACAGTTTTTGAAACAACTGAGACTTGATTTGTGTTAAGTGAATGGGGTGGAGACTTGCAATGCAGCTCTCAATGTAGAGCAAAATTAAGTTACCAAGTCAAATTTATTAAGGTACCTTAACTTAAATTTCATTGTACAACAATGAATGCAGAAATGTAACTGACATGACACACAATATTAAGTTGATGTAATTTCCAACATTATCATTTCAACACAACTCATGAAAGTAGGTTTTTAAATGAAAAAGTTTATTTAAACCAATAAATTAGGATTTTTATCTTGGAAATACACATTTAATTAAGTGGTGGTAACAGGTCGCTTGAGTTATTGTTTAGAGTGTAATCTTAAATATGTATCATCATTGAACTTCCCTAATCTGCAAACTACTGAAAAAAGAACAGTGAATTGAATGTTTATTGCATTGACCATAGGGATTTCAAGATATTTTAGTCATTTGCTTAGTTATCTAATTAATTAGATGGAAAAAAATCCATAACAAAGGGTGAAGGAACTGATTTGTGAATAATAACTTTGGAAAATTGCACTTTGAGAAGCTTCTGAATGGTGTGATCAG